CAGTCCAGGCAAACAACGCACATTACAACAAAGCTTAAACTTGTTCTTCATAATAATTTTAAAAACAATACTAGCTGCCTATTTAATTTTAAAAACAGCAAAAAATATCCACGTCCCTTTCCATTTCTTATAAGGAGTCTTGAAGTTTAAATCTCCTCAGTGTGATAGATATGCTTGCTTTGATTTGCTTAGCTCTTGGAAGTCCAGGGGCTCTGGGCTGCTGGCCCCATGCTACCTGGGGTCCCTAGAAACAACTCTGTCCGCCATTAGGGAATTTTTTTCCGGAGAACAACCTGTAACATTTTGCGAACCCCAGTTTGGGAACCACTGACATATTGTTAACTTTATCCAAATAGTAATGGATATAACCTTCCCTAATATAGCAACTATTCAGAATTCACTACTTAACGTTTCAGTATATCTAGACAACTGGACAAAAAACTCTCCAGGTGATTTATTTTAAAGCATTAAGTGACTACAGTATTCATAAAAAGGTACTGGACTGAAAAGCCTGAGAACTGAAGTCAGCTATTTAACAATAGGATAGGACGTTAACATATTAATTTGCCTGTTATTTTCCTTTCCCTAGCCTGTCTCTTTCTCTCTCTGTCCTTAGATTGTGAACTCCCTGGACAGGACCCATGTTCCTTCTTGAATCTTTGTCAAGCACAGAGCACAGTGCGCGCACTACCATAAACAAATGTTTTTAAACCGAACAGACAGCAGTAGTACAAGCTCCTTCTACTACCCTGCCAATGTTTCCATGCTGACCTGGACCTGATTAAGCTTCCAAGCCTAAGGACTAATTTAGAACAGTGTTCAACCTATGTTTTAAAATAGTTATGCTTGGTATTCACCACACTGGCAAACTGTTTAAAACCTGCTTTGCTGACAAACTCAATATTAATTACAGAAAGCACCTTAGCCACAAGTTACCTTAACTGGACTCAGAATGGAAGCTTTGCAATGGTATCTAGATCACATTATTAATTCCCTGCTGTTGTTTTCTAATTCATGGATACTTTGGTGAAACGGAGAACAATACCTACTATGGAAATGGCAAGCTTTAAAATATCTGAGAAAACAACAGGAGCCTAGTTATTTTGGATCTTTTTTAATGGCCTATATAACAAGGATTATCTGGAATTCCCAAATCTAGCATAAAGACATCCATCAAAAATGAATTGTAACCTTAATGACAGCCGTATTAGTCTTAAAATAGATTAACGTGCAGCACACTATTCACCTAGCTGTTTTCCCCCTCATTTTAGACCCAAAAGACTGGGGCGCTGAATATATTTAAACATGAACCTGATGAAATCTCTTTCCATATCACATTGTTGTAGTTTCAGTTAAGCTAAACCAGAATTGCTCACACAATAACACAATAATATGAAGATAGATAAGACTACATATTTAGACAGACAGGTTTTATACTCGGATTAGTGAGGAAAAGACAAAAGAGGGTACTTATTCTAGTGTTGCAGGAAGGAACAGAGGTGACAGTTGTGAAGTGACATCTACAAAGGTGCAATTAATTCTGTCTTTAAAAGCAATTTTTATTTTTAAAAAAATTTTCTGCAAGTGGGATTCAGATAATTCTCAACTACTGCTGACTAGAGATACATTAAGAATGCAAACAAAAAGATTACCTGATTCGGTCTACAGACATCAAATTATTTGTAGTAAAAAATGTGTGTGTAGAAGATATACTGTTTTTAGAATCTGCTTGAAGATTTATCCACTGATGTTTCTTATTGACAAGAAAGAAAGATTAGCAAAACAAATGATGGAAAGCAAAAAAGGGAAGCTAACGCCCAAACAAAATAAAGGAGAGAATAAAGATGATGTACAGGGGGAAAAACAGCTCCTACACAAGTAGTAGCTGTGTCCCCTTAAATCCTAAAAGACGGTTCAAACAAGATTTGGAATTCTGTACGCTAAAATGCAGACATCAAATAGTGCACACAGGTTGTTAAAACAACAAGTTAGCTTAAATGACTTCTAGTATTTGCCCCATATTTTAAAGGTTTTGATGTACTGAAGCATTTTTGAATGTCTTGCCCAGTAATCTTTTGAAATCCCAAAATTATATTATGGATTAAACATCAACGGAGGTAAGGGAAATCTCTAAAAATATTTCAGATACTAGAAACAGTTTTGTTCCCCCTTTATTGTTCTCTCTCAAAAATGGTAAAATAACTACATGATCCTCTTTGATTCAGAGGCAAAAGTTAATGAGACTTTACTAGTAATACCTTGCACGGTCTATGAAGCAACCAGCATGTAATGCTACAGAAGATACAGAACAGCTGCAAGCGCACATCATTTCTCTACCTGTCTAATCTCTGCATAAACAGGACAAGTGCATCAAAAGCCAAGAACTCATTTAATAGGCCAATGGGCTGCCATCTAGTTAGCTTCACATTTTAAAGAACGTTTTGCTATGATTTGGATGTGATCTTCTGAGCAAGAAATCATTGTCAAAATTAAGTCTCATACTTTATGTATAAAATTTACCAATGCAGTTGAAATTGTTGATTATGCACTTGATACCATAAGAGTTCTACACTTGTGGCAAAAAGCACATTTGAACATAAAAACTATACTCTACACACAAAGATCATGTAAGGTAGACTTTATTTCATGCTTTTATATCAGGAGTCGGCAACCTTTCAGAAGTGGTGTGCCGAGTCTTCATTTATTCACTCTAATTTAAGGTTTTGCGTGCCAGTAATACATTTTAACGTTTTTAGAAGGTCTCTTTCTGTAAGTCTATGATATATAACTAAACTCTTGTTGTATGTAAAGTAAATAAGGTTTTTAAAATGTTTAAAAAGCTTCATTTAAAATTAAATTAAAATGCAGAGCTCCCCAGACAGGTGGCCACAACTTGGGCAGTGTGAGTACCACTGAAAATCAGCTTGCATGCCGCCTTTGGCACTCCTGCCATAGGTTGCCTATCCCTGTTTTATATATTACATTTGCATCACTACTCACATAACCACAGAAAATGTGAAAATGGCAGAGGTGCTTAATGACTTCTTTGTTTCAGTTTTCACCGGCGTGGACAGCATCCAGACATCTGGGAAGGCCTAGTCCGACGCGGCTGGGCTACTCCGCTCAACATGAGTCAGAGGCCTAGAGGCTGGGGGGATTGAGGATTGCCCAACATGGGTCTAGTCTCTGCCCCTGGTTTACCTCAGTGCCGCTGTGAAGAAGGTACTTACTTAGCCTTCTTATGCCCCATAGATGGGGAGCGGTGCTGACTAGTCGAAGGCACTGGGAGGTCACTGCGCAGCGATGCGGCGGTGCCTAGTGCTGACTCAGAGCGGCGCGCCAGAGCTGGGGTCAGCACCGAGGCCATGAGAATGGCCTGGAGCCTAATGTCTCTTTCTCTCTTAGTCCGAGGTTTAAACGACTTGCAAATTTTGCAGTGATCACTGATATGGGTCTCACTCAGACAGCATAGACAACCTGCATGCGGATCACCTCCTTGGTATAGATCACCTACAAGTGTTGCACGCCTTACAACGCGAGATGTTGGGCATGCCCCGGCCTGGGTACTCTAACTAAATGAACTAACTGTAACAGCTAACTAACTACAGATACTAGCACTGAACGAACGAAAAGTTCTGGGGACGAGCTACAGCAAAGCTGGAGCAACAGTTCCGTTGCACCTTCATTGGCGGCAAGAAGGAACTAAGGGTGGGGGGGAGCATGCAGCTCTCCTTATACCACGCCATGGAGGCACCACTTCAGCGGTCACTGGGGTGCTCCCCCTACAAGTACTGCTAGGGGAAAAACTTCCGGCATTGGTGCACGTGGCGAGCACGCACACCTATTGTGGAATACACATGAGCAATCACATGAAGAAGAACGATCAGTTGTATACATACAAAATGGGAAATGACTGATTAGGAAGGAGTACTGTGGAAAGGGATCTGGGGGTCATTGTAGACCACAAGCTAAATATGAGTCAACAGCACAATGCTGTTGCAAAAAAAGCGAACATCCTTCTGGGATATATTAGCAGGAGTGTTGTAAGCAAGACACGAAAAGTAATTCTTCCACTCTACTCCGCGCTGATTAGGCCTCATCTGGAGTATTGTGTGCAGTTCTGGGCACCACATTTCAGGAAGGATGTGGACAAACTGGAGAGAGTCCAGAGAAGAGCAACAAAAAGAATTTAGGTCTAGAAAACATGGCCTATGAGGGAAGATTGAAAAAACTGGGTTTGTTTAGTCTGGAAAAAAGAAGACAGAGGGGACATGATAACATTTTTCAAGTGTATATAAAAGGTTGTTACAAGAAGGAAGAAGAAAAATTTATTTTCTTAACCTCTGAGGATAGGACAAGAAGCAATGGGCTTAAATTGCAGCAAGGGAGGTTTAGGTTGGACATTAGGATAAACTTCCTAACTGTTAGGGGGTGGTTAAGCACTGGAATAAATTGCCGAGGGAGGTTGTGGAGTCTCCATCATTGGAGATTTTTAAGAGCAGGTTAGACAAACACCTGTCAAGAATGGTCTAGATAATACTTAGTCCTGCCATGAGTGCAGGGGACTGGACTAGATAACCTTTCGAGGTTTCTTCCAGTTCTATGATATGATTATTTAAAATGTGAGGCTTTGGACATCAAAAAATATTAATCCCTAGAAACGCTTCTATTGACATGAAATAAACTTCCAGCCTCTGAAATTAAATTCTTTTCAATATTTTATTGATGTCAATGTAAAAAAACAGAACTAGTATATCTGAAAAAAATATTGCAGTAGTAATATACTACTTTAAAAACTACATGGAGATTTAACTTAAAGGAAGTAGAACAAAATAGTTGTATGAAACATAAAAAATGTGCCAGATACCTATTAAATATAGGAGGTACAAAGATAAGAGATAAAACAAATCTGTTAATCTATAATTCATCTGGCCATTTTGAGAAGTGCGTTAAATTCACTTCCAAGCCTCCACCTCTTCCTTTTTCTTTATTAATAATGTAATGCTCATGAAAAGTGCCAGATTAAACAGCTCTGGAGACTGGAATCTGCTTATTCACAGAACAGGTACAGCATCAACCCACACAGCACCCTGCTAGCATGCCTCAACACTTAGAGGGACCACCTCTAAGAATACAACAATGAGTTAGTATCCATGCTTATTCAATCTTAGGACTGTCTGCTGAAACTGCTAGCAGGGTGTCAATTAGTTCCATGTATGATTATAGTTTGTATGATGTGCAACCTGTCTGTCAGAAATTGAGAGTGCGGTATCAATTCCATGCAGAGATGCATCTGATTAGCTGATTCATGAACTGAAATTTGTATCAGACACTTAGGAGGGCACTTTACCCACCTAGACAGAAGCAAAGCTCCTTTTAACTTGAGAGTTTAAGGTGGAAGAATTGTTACAGATCAAAGGAAAAATATCAAAAACACAAATGTTCATCCCATTTTTGTAATTGAAGATTTGTCATATCTATACACACAACATATTGGGCCATACTCTGTTCTCAGTTACACGTGGGCAAATTCAGTGGTGTTGCAGCAGTGCAGATGAAAGCATATCTTGGACCATTACATCCATAAAATTTTTCTCAATATAAAATGTTGCTAATTTATTCCGTTATATGTTAACCCCAATGGAATAGCATAGGTAATAGCCACATAAGCTTCTTTTCTGACAAGTTAGCAGTTCCCAAGGCATGTCCATGTGGGTTCTTTCTTGCAGCACCTAGAGCTAGTGTGGAGGATAGGCACTGCCTTGTTTTTGGGAATCAATAATATCCCTCTGTTAAAAGAAAGGACAGAAACAAAACATCAACTACACTGTTTATATTATATAACTGCACATATAATAAATATTCTCAGTTATATTCTTAGGCCATAAAATGAGAAAATGAACATTAAAACAAATCCAAAATCCTAAAAATAATTTCCTATAAAAATGACTGATTTTTCACCAAGTACAGTAACTTCTGCTCAATGCCAAAAGCAAACCATGTGTCTCTTCTAAGTAGCTAATGCATAAAACATCTATGAACATGAAAAATCTTTGAAGCAAAGTAGCTTGGAAAAGCAACTTAAATTTATTAGGCAGTGATGCTTAAACTAGCAAAAGCTGGGATATACTATTAGTTTCTACTGAAAATACTGTCAGAAAGTTTCAGTCTAGTATGTAAGAAAACTGACATTAAGTTTGTTTAACCTCAGAAATACTGTAGCATAGCTAATACTTAGACTAAACACAAACTTTGTACCTTTGGAACAACTGAAGTTGCATTAAAATCCCCTAGGACAAGCAAGCATTACTGGTAGCCATTAGAAATGCCTAGTAAAGAGGCAAGTAGTGGTCAGACACAGAAAAAGGGTGAGAAAAGGTCACAGAGAAAACACACACCCACTGGAAGACAAAACAGAAGGAATAAGAATACTTTATTAGACAATTTACCAGCATCTCGTCAGTCCCAGAAAAGTTGTCCAGTCCAGTGCTCTGCTGATGTGTTACAGGGGTGATAAAGGCCAGGGTACTAAACTCACTAAACTAGAAAAAACAAACAGGGCTCAACCCTTACTTAACAGTTGGACATGTGCCACTGAAGGGATACTGTTTCATTCTGAAATGAGCTTTGGACAAAACAGAGAACATGTAATACAACATGAATTCTAAGCATGTGAAAGCACACATTAAAACATATTTTACAGCTATAGCAGTGTAACTTGCTTGAAAGTTGATTTTTCATCCATTTTATTTCTACTTCGTAAAAATGTGTGAATCTGGCAGGGAGTTGAGGGCTATGATGGGCATATTGGGATGAACTTCATGGCTATAATAGGTCACTGGAGCGGGAACTTTTTTCTCTTTTTGGTTTTAGAAAACTGTTCTACTTGTTTTTCTTGTTTAAATTGTTTTAAACTTTTAATGTATGTCAAAGAGTCATTGAACTTTCAGAAAGCTTTGGGTTTTTTAAAATTAAATAAAATACATATCTGATATTTCTATATTTAAGAATAGAAAGTTAGCATGCAAACATGTCAAACAAATTTAAAACACAAAACACAGGAAAATAAAGTTAAAATACTTTTAGATTAGTTACATTACAGTAACTGTGGTTCTTCAAGATGTGTTCTCTTTATATAGCACACTGTTCTTGTGCATGTACCCCAGACACTTGAGTTTGGATTCTTCAGGCCAGCAGCATCCATTGGGGGCTGCACCTGTACTCTGAGGGCTGGTCTTCACTACGGGAAGATCAATGCTGCTTATTTAGCGGATCTAGTGAAGACCTGCTAAATTGAAGGCAGAGCGCTCTCTAGTCAACTGAGGTACTCCAGCTCTATGAGGAGAGTAAATTAATCGGAGAGCGTCTCCCAACGACATAGCGCAGTGAGGACACTACGGTAAGTCGACCTAAGCTACACTGACTCCAGCTATGTTGCTGGAGTAGCATAAGTTAGGTCGATTTACCCTGGTAGTGAAAACAAGCCCTCAGGGTCATCGTGCCTCTAACCCAAGGGAGTAATGGCAAGGCAACCCGATCATCCCTCAGTCCCTTCACCAATGCAGAATCTAGGTGTTCTCAGACTCCACAGCAGCAGAGAAGGGGGGTGGGGTATGGAACACATCTGGATGACACATCTTGAACTACAGTTACTGTAAGGTGAATAAGTTTTTTCTTCTTTGAGTGCTTATCTATATATATATATTCATTCCACTTTTGGTCATTCATAAGCAGCAACCTAGACCACAGGACATAGGCACTAGGAATCTATTTGAACAACGATTGTAAGATGGCTCTGCCAAAATGAGCATTGGATCTTGATGTTTCTATTTTGAAGTAATGTTGTGTAAGCATATGCGTATAATTCCAAGTTGCTGCCTGTCATAAATATAAAGGGAAGGATAAACCCCTTTAAAATCCCTCCTGGCCAGAGGAAAAATCCTCTCACCTGTAAAGGGTTGAGAAGCTAGGATAACCTCACTGGCACCTGACCAAAATGACCAATGAGGAGACAAGATACTTTCAAAAGCTGGGGGGAGGAAAAAATAAAGGCTCTGTCTGTGTGATGCTTTTGCCGGGTAAAGAACAGGAATGGAGTCTTAGAACTTAAGTAAGTAATCTAGCTAGATATAAATTAGATTACGATTTCTTTAAATGGCTGAGAAATTAAGCTGTGCTGAATAGAATGGATATTCCTATGTGTCTTTTTGTAACTTGAGGTTTAGCCTAGAGGGATTCTCTATGTTTTGCATCTTATTACCTGTAAAGTATTTACCATCCTGATTTTACAGAGGCAATTCTTTTTACTTTTTGCTTCTATTAAAATCCTTCTTTTCAGAAACTGAATGCTTTTTCATTGTTCTTAAGATCCAAGGGTTTGGGTCTGTGGTCACCTATGCAAATTGGTGAGGATTTTTACCAAACCTTCCCCAGGAAGTGGGGTGCAAGGGTTGGGAGGATTTGGGGGGCAAAGACGTTTCCAAACAATGCTTTCCTAATAACTAAACCCAGATAAAGGTTTGGTGGTGGCAGTGGAAGTCCAAGGGCAAAGGGTAAAATAGTTTGTACCTTGGGGAAGTTTTAACCTAAGCTGGTAAAAGTAAGCTTAGGAGGTTTTCATGCAGGTCCCCACTTCTGTACCCTAGAGTTCAGAGTGAGGAAGGAACCTTGACATGGTGGCAGAGCGGTGGGATTAACCTGAAATCATTTTGCGATCAATTTGAGATTTTTTGAACCAGAAAAACAGATTTTAAAAGGAAATTTTTAAAATCCTTTGGGCTGCTAGAAAGCAGGTCTCCAACTGGAAATATTTGGAAGGTTTTTTTGCTTTGCTTTGGGGCCAGAGCAGAGACAAAAGGAAATTATCTTTTGTGAATTGCAGTTTTCTCTACCTAAAGGCAGAGTAGTTAACCTCCTGCAGGGAAATTCACAAGTCTTCACAGACCTGAAGTTAGTTTCTTTTTTTTTAACCTAAAAGTAACTAGAGGGGTTTTCTGCCTACTTGCCTGGAGACAAAGGTGTTAGGGTTTTTGGTTTTTTTTTAATTTTTTTTTATTGTTGTTGGGTTGGATTTTTTTTGGATGTTTCTGTAGGCTGATAATCACCATCAGAGAATATAGGTATCCTATTACAGCACAGCAAAATTTTACAAGCCAAGTTTTGTTTGTTTTATTTCTAACCCTCGGGTGTAAAGTTAGTTAAAAACAGAGAGGTAAAGATGACAGACACCAAGGCACTACACAAATTGGAGTTAGCCAAACTGGAGGCAGTGAAAGAAGCAGAAAAAGCCCTAGAAGCTGCTCACAGAAGAGCTATGGAGGCAAAGGACAAAGAAAGGGAGGCAGTGAAAGAGGCAGAACACCACCAAGCGGCTGCTCACAGGAGAGCTATGGAGGCAAAGGAAAAAAGAACTGGATGCAAGGGCCAAAGAACTGGAGGAGAAGGAAAAAGAGGAAGCATGTGGAGGAAGAGAAGGAAAAAGAGAGGAAGCATGAACTGGAGATGGAGAAGGGGCAAGGGCTCAGCAAAATATACCAACAAATCCTAGCAATCCTTCTCCAGGTACCACTTCCCAGCCCAGAAAGTTCCCCAGCTACAAGGCAGGCGATGATACCGAGGACTTCTTAGAAAACTTTGAAAGGGCCTGCCTTGGGTACAGCATCTCTACACACCAATACATGGTAGAGCTGAGGCCGCAGCTCAGTGGACGCGTAGCTGAGGTGGCGGCTGAAATGCCTAAGGAACAAATGAACCAGTATGAACTGTTTAAAACCAAGGCGAGAGTCAGAATGGGGCTAACACCCAAGCGTTCCCATCAGCGATTCAGAGCCCTAAAGTGGAAACCAGATGTGTCATTTACCTGACATGCCTACCACATTGTGAAACATTGGGATGCCTGGATATCAGGAGCAAGTGTTGAATCTCCAGTAGATTTGCCCTTCCTAATGCAAATGGAACAGTTCTTAGAGGGTGTTCCTGAGGAAATACAAGGTTACATCCTAGATGGGAAACCCAAAACTGTAATCGAGGCGGGGGGAGATTGGAACCAAATGGGTGGAGGTGGCAGAGAAGAAAAAAACTGGTCGCAGTTGGAGCAGATACCAGAAGGGACAACCTCAGACCACACTCTATTACCGGGGGCTGCCCAAGGCCCCACCTACCCCCCAAGGAACCCTCCAGCCACCTTATTGTCCCGCCACACCGTTCTCCAGCAACCCACCTCGCCCCAGTGACCCGTCAGCTGGACGATGTTTTAAATGTAACGAGCCTGGGCATGTAAAGGCCAACTGTCCCAAGAACACCAACAGATTACAATTCATTGCACTGCAATCACACCAGAGGTCCTCAGGCCCAGATACCTCCCAGATACCCTTGGAGCAGAGGGAAACTGAGTGTGGGCGGGAAGAAGGTCACCCCGTGGAGGGACACCGGAGCACAAGTGTCAGCTATCCATGCTTCCTTAGTGGACCCCAATTTAATCAACCCAGAAATCCAAGTGACGATTCAACCCTTCAAGTCCAACTCTTTCAATTTGCCTACAGCCAAGTTGCCTGTCCAGTACCAGGGCTGGTCAGGAATGTGGACTTTTGCAGTCTATGATGATTATCCCATCCCCATGCTGTTGGGGGAAGACTTGGCCCATCATGTGAAGTCAGCCAAGAGGGTGGCAGCCAGACTAAACCAGCCGTCATGCCTAGTGCTGTTCCAGAGACTTCTACCAGGACCCGGTCAGAGGTGATGGACCCGGACCCCGGGCCAATGTCTGCAACAGCAGTAGTGGATCCAGTCCCAGAGACCCAGACGGAACCAGTCCCAGAACCGGAACCGGCGGAACCACCAGCACCACTGCCAGCACTGCATCCAGTACTTGCAACCTCAACACCAGAGGGCCCCACCGAACCTGAACCAACAGCAGCCCATACCCCTACACAAGAGGCTTAGCCAGAGCCTGAACCCCAACATAGTGCCCCAGCGGAGAGCGGTTCACAGTCAACGGAAACAGACCCATCCCCTACATAGCTTCCAGAGGGACCAAGCATAGGTCCACAATCCAATGAGGAACTGATGTCTCCAGCATCAAGGGAACAGTTCCAGACCGAACAGGAAGCAGATGAAAGCCTCCAGAGAGCTTGGCTGCGGCATGGAGCAACCCACCGCCTCTCAGCTCTTCTAATCGATCAGGTTTGTTGCAGAAAGAGGACTTTTATTCAAGGAAACTCTTTCTGGTGGACACCAGGAAGACTGGCATCCTCAGAGACAGTTGGTAGTTCCAACTAAGTACTGGGCCAAGCTCTTGAGCTCAACCCACGATCATCCTAGTGGCCATGCTGGGGTGAACAGGACCAAAGACCGTTTGGGGGGGTCATTCCACTGGGAGGGAATGGGAAAGGATGTTTCTACCTACGTCCGGTCTTGTAAAGTATGCCAAAGAGTGGGAAAACTCCAAGACCAGATCAAAGCCCTTCTCCAGCCACTCCCCATCACTGAAGTTCCATTTCAGCGAGTAGCTGTGGATATTCTGGGTCCTTTTCTGAAAAAGACATCCAGAGGAAAGCAGTACATACTGACTTTCATGGATTTTGCCACCCGATGGCCGGAAGCAGTAGCTCTAAGCAACACCAGGGCTAAAAGTGTGTGCCAGGCACTAGAAGACATTTTTATCAGGGTAGGTTGGCCCTCCAACATCCTCACAGATGCAGGGACTAATTTCCTGGCAGGAACTATGGAAAACCTCTGGGAAGCTCATGGGGTAAATCACTTGGTTGCCACTCCTTTCCACCATCAAACAAATGGCATGGTGGAGAAGTTTAATGGAACTTTGGGGGCCATGATACGTAAATTCGTAAATAAGCACTCCAATGATTGGGACCTAGTGTTGCAGCTGTTGCTCTTTGCCTACAGAGCTGTACCACATCCCAGTTTAGGGTTTTCCCCATCTGAACTTGTATATGGCCGTGAGGTTAAGGGGCCATTGCAGTTGGTGAAGCAGCAATGGGAGGGATTTACACCGTCTCCAGGAACTAACATTCTGGACTTTGTAACCAACCTACAAAACACCCTCCGAACCTCTTTAGCCCTTGCTAAAGAAAACTTACAGGACGCTCAAAAAGAGCAAACAGCCTGGTATGATAAACATGCCAGAGAGCGTTCCTTCAAAGTAGGGGACCCAGGTCATGGTCTTAAAGGTGCTCCAGGCCCATAAAATGGAAGCCTCATGGGAAGGGCCATTCACGGTCCAGGAGAGCCTGTTAATTATCTCATAGCATTCTCCACCTCCAACCGAAAGCCTAAAGTGTACCATATTAATTCTCTAAAGCCCTTTTATTCCAGAGAGTTAAAGGTTTGTCAGTTTACAGCCCAGGGAGGAGACGACGCTGAGTGGCCTGAAGGTGTTTACTACGAAGGGAAAAGTGCTGGTGGCTTGGAAGAGGTGAACCTCTCCATGACCCTTGGGCGTATACAGCGACAGCAGATCCAGGATCTGTGCACTGGCTACGCGCCAACGTTCTCAGCCACCCCAGGACTGACTGAAGGGGAATACCACTCCATTGACACAGGTAATGCTCACCCAATTAAAGTCCAACCTTACCAGGTGTCTCCTCAAGCTAAAACTGCTATAAAACGGGAGATCCAAGATATGTTACAGTTGGGTGTAATCCACCCCTCTGGAAGTGCAGGGGCATCTCCAGTGGTTCTAGTTCCCAAACCAGATGGGGAAATATGTTTTTGCGTGGACTACCGTAAGCTAAATGCTGTAACTCGCCCAGACAACTATCCAATGCCACGCACAGATGAACTATTAGAGAAACTGGAACGGGCCCAGTTCATCTCTACCTTGGACTTAACCAAGGGGTACTGGCAGGTACCGCTAGATGAATCCGCCAAGGAAAGATCAGCCTTCACCACACGTCGGGTTGTATGAATTTAATGTACTCCCTTTCGGGTTAAGAAATGCATCCGCCACCTTCCAAAGACTTGTAGATGGTCTCCTAGAGGGATTAGGAGAATATGCAGTCGCCTACCTTGACGACGTGGCCATATTTTCGGATTCCTGGGCAGAACACCTGGAACATCTACAAAAAGTCTTTGAGCGCACTAGGGAGGCAGCACTAACTGTTAAGGCTAAGAAGTGTCAAATAGGCCTAAACAGAGTGACTTACCTTGGACACCAGGTGGGTCAAGGAACTATCAACCCCCTACATGCCAAAGTGGATGCTATCCAAAAGTGGCCTATCCAAAGGTCAAAGAAACAGGTTTAATCCTTCTTAGGCTTGGCCGGTTATTACAGGAGATTTGTACCGCAATACAGCCAAATTGCCGCCCCACTGACAGACCTAACCAAAAAGAAACAGCCAAATGCCGTTCAGTGGACCTAAGAGTGTCAGAATGCCTTTAACCAGCTTAAAGCGACACTCATGTCTGACCCTGTACTAAGGGCCCTAGACTTTGACAAACCGTTCCTAGTAACCACAGATGCGTCCGAGCATGGTGTGAGAGCAGTTTTAATGCAGGAAGGACCGAAAAAGAATTCCACCCTGTAGTGTTTCTCAGCAAAAAACTGTCTGAGAGGGAAAGCAACTCGTCAGTCAATGAAAAGAAAAGTGAAAAGTGAAAAGAATGTTACGCCATTGTCTATGCTCTGGAAAAGCTACGCCCATATGTTTGGGGACGGCGTTTCCACCTGCAAACTGACCATGCTGCGCTACAGTGGCTTCATACTGCCACGGGAAATAACAAAAAACTTCTTCGGTGAAGTTTAGCTCTCCAAGATTTTGATTTCGACATCCAACACATCTCAGGAGCTTCTAACAAAGTGGCTGACACACTCTCCCGTGAAAGTTTCCCAGAATCAACTGGTTAAAATCGTCCTTGAGATGTGAAAAATATTGTTAGTCTTTATGTACTTGGTAGTATATTTAGAGGTGCATGTGTCTTATTAACTCTGTTTTTCCCTAGAGCTCCAGGAAGAAATCCCAGCCAGCATTTCACCCTAGCTGTGATTTGGCGGGGGCGTGTCATAAATATAAAGGGAAGGGTAAACACCTTTAAATCCCTCCTGGCCAGAGGAAAAATCCTCTCACCTGTAAAGGGTTGAGAAGCTAGGATAACCTCACTGGCACCTGACCAAAATGACCAATGAAGAGACAAGATACTTTCAAAGCTGTGGGGGGGGAGGGGGGAGGAAAAAATAAAGGCTCTGTCTGTGTGATGCTTTTGCCGGGTAAAGAACAGGAATGGAGTCTTAGAACTTAGTAAGTAATCTAGCTAGATATAAGTTAGATTATGATTTCTTTAAATGGCTGATAAAATAAGCTGTGCTGAATGGAATGGATATTCCTGTTTTTGTGTCTTTTTGTAACTTAAGGTTTTGCCTAGAGGGATTCTCTATGTTTTGAATCTGATTACCCTGTAAGGTATTTACCATCCTGATTTTACAGAGGTGATTCTTTTACTTTTTCTTCAATTAAAATTCTTCTTCTAAGAACCTGATTGCTTTTTCATTGTTCTTCAGATCCAAGGGTTTGGGTCTGTGTTCATCGATGCAAATTGTGGGGATTTTTCTCAAGTCTTCCCCAGGAAAGGGGGTGTAGAGTTTGGGAGGATTCTGGGGGGGAAAGAGGTTTCCAAGTGGGCTCTTTCCCTGTTATATATTTGTTAGACACTTGGTGGTGGCAGCAATAAAGTCCAAGGGCAAAAGGTAAAATAGCTTGTACATTGGGGAAGTTTTAAACTAAGCTGGTAAAAATAAGCTTAGGGGGTTTTTCATGCAGATCCCCACGTCTGTACCCTAGAGTTCAGAGTGGGGAAGGAACCTTGACTGAAGTGTAAACTTTATTTTTGCCTTTGTTGGAATATGGCTTGGGAAAAATACAGGCACGTATATTATTTGGTTGAAATGGAAGTCAAAGACTAGCTTTGGCAAAAACTTTGGGGAAGGCAACAAGGTCCTCCTGTCCCTATGAGGCATCATATACGGAGGTCCCATCACTCTACTGCCTTTCTGGCCAATGTTATAGCCACTAAGAGGCTATTTTGATGGACAAGTGGAAGAGGAAACATAGCATGGGGCTGAAAGGATGGACCCATCAGCACTAGGTCGCAATCCCATGGAAGGAGAGGCACCTGCATAAGGCCCTTCAAGAATCTACTACTGTGGGAC